ATTCTCGCAGTAGTTTATAGCTCACAAATGAAAGCTTCAGCAGATGGCAAGATCATCACCAAGATGACATGCACTTTTAGGACATGTGGCATTCTTTGTTTGCTATTACGTAAGTAATCAAAAACTGCGGAAACATGTATCCCCTTCTTCCTTCAACTGTCCTCTGAACCTCTCTTAGAAGAAGACAGAACATATGCAGGGCTCTTCGCACAGGCTGCAGACCTCTTTGTTCAAATACTTCCTTTACCAGCAGTCATGCACTGCACTTCACTAAAAGACTCTTATTTCAGTTCACCTTATCATCTAATGAACTTTTCATATTTTCTGTTTTTTTGTATTCACAAACAGTAGTTACAGAGAGAAATACTGCATCAGTTTAAGAAAATAATTATAATAGGCCACACTCCATTACTGTTATTAATTGAATTTGCTCATTGAGGGTTGACAGTTAAACCATTTCTATCTTATAACTGAAAGAGATAGCCTTTGAAAAGCAAATTACAATAACTAACAAACTCAGCATATTCACTTATTTTGAATGTCATTCTAGTCAATAGAGTTTTCTAGTCACACTCCACAGGTTTGTGCTACTGAAAGAAAAAATAGTGAAACAGACAGTAAGGTTTTTCAGATAGTTTATTGCATGAACGTACAGTATAAATTTGCTTATATGGACAATCATAAAAACAGCCTCTACAGTAATGCTGACTAAAAGCAATTTACTCATTTGAAACTTATGAATGCAAAACTTTGTTAAAAAGCCAGGCTCAGGTTCAACAGGACTCAGTTTTGAGAGAAAACGCATTAAAAGGTAGATGTATCTCTAGTAAAAGGACTAGGATAGGGACTTTGTTGAGCTAAAAAGATGTTTTATGACAAGGTACTCCAGCTACCTGTGTTTCAGGTTCCCCAGGAAGATAAGGAGGATAATAGCCTTTTTGCCCTTACACTGGATTGTGAAGCTTGACTCATAAAGAGCCTTATCCAAAGCCATTAAAGCCAATAGAAATCTCTCATTGACTTTAATGAGCTTTTGTTCAGGTCCTTTACAAGACAACTGAAAGACTGCCATTGACTTCAAGCTGTAATTGTATAAAGCTCTTTCATATCCTCAGCTTGGAGACATTTGGAAACATAGAAATGTAGTAATAAGAGTATTATATTTACCAAAGAAATCCCCATAAGATAAAATTGAACCTTTTTTTTAAAAAAAAAAAAAAAAAATTCTGGGAGTGCTATTCACTGCATATGTGTACATCCAGGAATATACATATAAAAAAAAATTATTGTATGCCCTTCTTAACAACTATTTCTCAGACACCCTTCTATGTTGGTTGCATAACCATCTCTGCACTGCTGGATGTCAACTCTACATATTTAATCCAGACAAAGTACAGCTTATATTGACTTTTCCCTTGATATAGCAAGAGTATCAGAACCAGAATATAAATTGACACTTTGTTTTTATGCTGGTATTATCCTGGCTGTGCAGGCAACGACAATAACTGATCTGGCATAAAGTTAAACCTTTAAAATCTTTAAGAAATTTGAAGCAGCAGAGGAGTTTAATACTTGATCAATTCTTTATAATGTGTCTCCTGCGTTTCTGACCTAAGAAAGCAGAAGCATTGTTAGGAACAGTAATGTTATATTTCCTACATTGTCAAAGTACAACCTCACAGTAAAAATGTCCTACAAAACAGGAAAATTACCAGAACTGAAAACCAAAAGGAGAAACTTTAAAAAGTGGTATCATAAGTATATAAGCTGTTCATTATTACATTCCCACAGTATGCCAATTAAGGAATGCTAAACTAATATCATAAAAGCTTGGCTTCATTCTATAAGAATTTGAAAACAGTAACAGCCAATTGAGTAGAAATCTCTATTCTAGTCTTGGTAATTGAAATAAATTTCCAGCTACATGAATTTTTTTATCCCTTTAAATAATAGTAACAAGATGTAAGTTCTCTGAGTATTTATTGGCTTCTATTCAAATCAGCTATTTTGAGCATTATGAATGGCTGACCTGACATTTCCGAACCTGAAACACAGCAGTATCAAAGCAATAGTATTATATAACACCTGGCATTCTGTATTACACAAAGCATTTTTTTTTTAAGACAATGTACAATAACCATGCACTACTTAATTTAGCCCAATATTCTGGAAAGGTAATTAATATTTAAGTTTTGATCATGTAGAGAGTTAACAGCATTTCTAATTCAGCACTACCCATAGATATCCTGTTATTTTTGTAATATCAGTTAAGGTATTAATTTTATTCAAAGGCACAACTAAGCAGAAAGGAAATATTAAACCTTTACAAATCTTAGTTAAAAAATTTTCATTTTATTTACACACTCCAGGAAAATGTCTCTCTATGCCTGAACATTCCAACTGTAGTCCTATAAAAACCATGCAATAACAAGAGATAATATAATTTATTTTATAATATTTTTATAAACCGAGTAAAGATAATTTAACCTGCTAGGGTTTTACATTTCAGAAATTCATATCACTCCAAAGGTGCATCTAATTTAGAACTTGATTGGTATCAGGTTTTTTGCTTTATCAACCTAACCCATTAGGCCATTACACATAGTGTTATTCTCCAAGAGAAAAAATGACTCTAACATCTGTTCTCAATCTGTTTTTCCATAATTTCCTTTTATGCCCCATGTAACTCATTAAGCCCATCTATGAAACATTACTGTGTCTGACTGTCTACACTAAATATGCATTTCTACTATAACATTGCATGAAAACTGAAAAAATTGTAGACTACAATATAATCCACTTTAAAAATACAGTATTTTTACTGAATCTTTTGATCCAAGAAAATGTATCTGGGTTTGCAAGTTAGAATTGTGACACACATAACACATAACCTAATCTCTTAAGTGACCTATATTCTAACAAACTGAGAAAAATGGGTTCATGTCTTACCATTGTGCAGTCTGTTCCTTATGACTGCTGCAGTCTTATGAGAGAAAAAGTATTTAAGAAGAGCATACTTTCTGAATGGCTTGAAGCGAGTGATTTTAATACTTTAATACACTTGTGCAAGTGATCTCCAGCGTACAGCAGACAGAGGGGTGGAAAATGTCCCAATAACCTAAAATCTAACACATGTGTAGAACACAAAAGAGCCTGGAGTCCAGTATGTCCTTTTAAATACACTTACATTTTCTTCTACAGATGAACATTTTCTGCATTTTATCATTCTCAAACTAGGTTCCAGCCCTGTGATCTCTTCTGCCCCCTTTTGCCTGTATTCAACAATTACTGCTCTAATTTCAGAAGAAAACACCTATTTCAGCTGACTTGCCCATAATGTATTCATCAACACAATACAAAGGTCATTCTTCCTGCAGAAAGCTAAAGAATTCACTGTCAAAACCTGTTGTACTAGCTCTCAAAAGGTGTCACTGCTGTAAGAAAAGTGACATACGCCCTGATATTAGCTAGCAGCTGATGACTAATGTGAGGTCAAAGCCTAGTGAAGGCGATTTTCTAATATTTATAAACATCAGTGAATTAAATAAAAATCTGAGGTTATTTAGATTTAGCCCAACATGCTATCCTGCATGAAAGCTTCATGATGCTTACCTTGAGGATATTACCTTGTACTAATTTCTGTGTGAGCTGCTGTATATCTGAAACCAATGCCTAACTGCTGAAGTTTTCTTGTGCTTTGAGTGTACGCTGGCAATATATTTGTAAGTGAAAAGATTAGTGGCTTTATGACTAAGATTTATCTTGGGAACAGAGAGTGAGATAGAAAAGGAAAAGCCTACTAAGGGAGGAAAGAGATACGTGCACGGGATCGACTGAATTAAATCCTGCAGGAGAGAACCTCTAAAACTAGACATTAGACATCTTAGAAGATAGTAGCAGGAAAATAATAATGAAAAATAGCAAGAAATACAAGCACAAAAAAAGGGAGACAAACTAAATGGGAAGCAACGGCATCACATACTCCAAATCAGACAGTAGGACTCTTGCATTTTTTCTTGAGAACAGATTATTTCAAATTAATAGCTGGGCTAAACTTCCAGAAGCCAGACAAACTCCTGACATCCTTGCTGTCATTAATTCAGTTACAGTCAGTGGGGTGACTTCGGTATGAAATAGGTATGAAATGCATAAGCGTGGAAAAATCCAGCCTTGACAACTTCCCTGTGACAACCAGTGTTTTTTTAATAATATTAGAGGAGTATTTTCTCTTAGAGACACATGTCAAAAACCTGCATATGGAATAGGGCAAAAAGGATTTGTATTTCCACAGTAGGATGCACAGCTTATGCAATTATTGCCTGCATGCTAGATTAAGTTAAAACAAGAAGAGGAATTTACACAAAGTGTAACAAAACCAAAATCAAACCAAAACTGGAGTGCAGAGAAAGCATTTACTGTCTTCCTGATAAACAGAGGCACACTTTTACCAGTCAAGAAACAGATTTTCCAGGTTACATTTTGTCCCTATATAAAGAGAATATAAATATTTATCTTGGCGAAAGTTTTGAAATATCTCCACCGTTGTCCACAGACCAATTTAACAGTTAACACTTACTAAGCACACTTACAGCTTCCTAATTCTTTATCCCAGCACTGGTGCTAAAGCAAGACTGAGCTCCCGGGAGGGAACCATTCCAAATTACATCAGCTGGCAACATGTCCTCAGGGAGCATCTGTCAGCTACAGGGAGCTGGCTCGCCCTCTCACTACTCCTCCAGTACATCCCTCCAAATTTAAAATCTCTACCAGTTCTCCTTTCATGTGGGTGAATTAAAAGGAGTCTTTTATCTTGTTATAATAGTTAAGAGCAAACTCAGTCTCTGTTGACACAGATATTTTATAAAGTCTCATCATTCTCACAAAAATAATATAAACACAATCACAACCAATTCATACTTGCTGTGTTGAACAAATGATCCAGGAGACATGCAATGCCTTTCAGTTGCAAAGTGTAAATGACATACAGAGAATTGACTTACCGGGCCAAAAGCATTGCTGTCAAAACTGTGTCCATGGTGATCACCTTCAACCCAAATATGCCCATGTGGAACTTTCACATACTTCTTTTTGTATCCAATAGTTCTAAAAAGAATTGAAAAAATGACTAATCAGTTAAAAAGTAAAATTTACAATGTTTTGTCAGGAAAATTCACATATCTATAATTTTGGAATTTGACCTTGCATACTATCCAACACTTGCTTGAAAAAACCTGTGCTGAAGCCCTTTAGACTTCAACAGTGCTACGCTACTCAAAATACATAACAATTTTGTATGAGCTAGTTGCACTATCAGGGCCTGTTTACTACATTGTTTTGGCAGAAATCACATCACAACAGGGCACAAGAGACTTTTCAGTTAAATATAATTAAGGGATTCTTATTTCCATCTCTGTATAACAGCTCTTTGAACCATCTGATTTTATCGCAGGCAAATCGCAGTGGACACATGTTGCAGTCACATAAAGGTATTGCATTAGGAATGTTTTTCTTCTGGGGTAGTGTTACGTACTCATGAAAAATAGTCTGACATATCTGAACCGGCCTCGATTCAGAGCTTGGTTTCCTCTGATGCTTATGTCCTGGGGATAGGATTTCTTCAGCTGTAACCAGCTAAACAGGATAAACTTAAAGGAAACCTCTAAGAGAAGGCCAAGTGCTACAAAAAATTGACATTGATGATTCAAACCATTCTTCACAGAAATTCATACAGAAGCAGTGCCTCAGCATGTCCTGATATTACAAAAATGACAAACTACAGTTGAGTCCTAAAGCTGAGGTGCAGAGTACACGAAATTCCTGTATTTACTTCCCAAGTAGCTGTCATTTTCAGAATGCCAGTTTGCTTTCTACCATACACTTTTGCTTTCTTTCAGATGGGAACTGCTATTCTGCAATCATTCATGCAAAGAAGTGATTTTATCATGCACACTAAATTATTACCATGATGAAGCACTTACAGATGGGACTACAGATAGTGATACCTCTTACTTTGTTTGGGATAACCAAGTCTGCCTATAGACAGAAACAGACTTTTGATCTAGCTTGTTGCCTGTGGCCATTCATCACTTTTCACTCTCTGGAAGATACGTCCCCAAAGAAGAAGGCCGAAGGAGCACACTCTAAAACTAAAGAAAATCAACTGAAGAGATAAAATCACCCTCACCAGGAAATTCAGCTGAAGTGTGCAACAGCACAGATCAGGAAAGTTTACAAGTCAGAATAGGAAAACCATTTTTGATGAGGTTTGTTTGGCTTGGAGAGTGGGGAGGAGGATATTATAAGGACAAAAACTAATAACCTGGAGACCATGAAATATCAGATGGAGAAGGAATCCTCAAAATTGCATTTTATTAACTTTATTTGACTTTATTGGTCAAATAAAAATAATAATTATTTACTTTGCAAGTCACCAAATCTGACCAGTGCTTTTTGAAACAGATTTTTGTGGCAGCTGAAAGGATGAGCATGCCAGAACTATATTCTAATGGAAGTTCTACCTGTACTTCATTGAAAGCTGAAAAAATAATAGCCTATATGTGGAAAAAAAGACTCTGATTTTCATCTTTCTTCAGAACAGTTTCATGTTACACAGTATTCAAGACTGAGTTCCCAAACCATTCAAACCAAAAATATAAAAATGTCCTGAGTTGGTAAATATATGATTTCTTAAACACAAAGAGTAGTTCTGTAATAATCTAATTATGCTAAAAGATCAATTTATTACTACACAATTCCTGCCTCCCTTTTTTTTTTTTTTTTAAAGAAATACGGCATACAGTCTAGACAATAAAATAATTTGTTTTGAGATTCCATAAGGCTTTGTCTCACTGAAAATTTCTTTTATAAAGGACCATATGAGACTGTTTCTAGGAAAACATGTTTTAAGATATAGGTTGAGAGAAGGTGGCCATTAATTCTGTTCTGTCTGATTAGACGCTAAAAATTATTAAACTAATATCTTCCATCAGTGATAAAGGCAAACAATAGCTAAAAAAAAATTTAATTTTCTCTTCCATTCATCTTCCTGAATATAGAAGAGTAGATTGTGATAAAGTTTTGTACCTTTACAGACTTCAAGCACAAGACTGATTTTCACCCAGAAGGGTGAAAGGATTTGAAAGTTAATTCTGCTGAAATGTTTACCTCATAAATGTCAGGAAAATAATATGGCAAATGCCAGTCAGTGAGTCCATCTGAGACTGCACATAATCTCCTACTCCCAAATAATCTCCTCCTTTATTATGATTAAGCAATCACTAACAGGAAAGGAAAAGAAAAAAAAAAAAAAAGAAAAAGGAAAGCTTTTGGAATAAGTACTTGGAAACAAAAATTAAAATAATTTAGTCTGCATGGATAGGTCGTGCAGACATTCGCAGAGACCCTGTGAAAACAGAAAGCCTTAACACAGATGTATAGTGTGTTTGTTAAGGCCTAAGGCAAAAAGATTACAGAGCGCAGTAAGTATTGTTGGTTCTTTTTGTTATTTCTACAAATAAGAAAATACGTATTTATTTTCTACTCTTGAAATAACAATCATAAATCTGCAAAAATTTTCTGCAATTATGCAAAAATAAGGCTTTTACAGTGATTAAAGTGGAATCATGTACAAATTCTCATACTGGAAAAAGCAGATGATTGTACACAAGAAGTTTTGACTTAGACTGATTATGTTATTAAATGTATTAAGGGAATACGGGGGAAAAAAGAAATGGAAAAGAAAAAGAAGCAGCAGTTCTAATTATCTACTTTCTTAAGTAGGACTGATACTGCATGGATAAATCCCTCTATAAACTTGCATGGAAAAATCCCTCTATAAACTCAGCAGATAAATGTAAAACCTTCTGCCATTTCACGTATGGGGTATAGAAAACATCAGATTTTTCCCACATGTAGGTCCATCAGAAAAAAAAATCAAGATATATTGTAAACAATAAGTACCTGTATACCTGTGAACAAAATAAAGGCAAGAAAATCTATTTTCCTAACACAATTCCTCCACAATGTTAGTGTAGTATTTGCATAGGGCAGTCACCTAGGGACTTTGCATCCACTTTAGCAATCCTCCTGCAAAAACTGTCCTGTGCAACGCAGGTAAAATTTGAAAACAAAGTTTTAATTGAAGTTTTCACTACATGAATTAGAAACAAACTGCAGGAATAAACTCATGTTACAGTAAACTGGATCATCCATTACTTAATATTGTTTTTAATTTTCAAGATAATTTCACTGTTGAATTACTCCACATCAGATCAATAAACCATTCACGCAAACAAACCAGGCTACAGGCTTCAGAAAACCATATTCAGTTAATGACAGTAGGTTATTTTTAGTTACTGTGGCAAAGACTGTTGACCGTTTTTAAGAACAAAAACCCCCAAACTTGTAGTTTCCTCTCTTATGAAGAGAGCACTGTTTCATTATCAAAATTAGTCAGTTAGTAACACTACCCCTCTCTCACATGGATGTTGCATAAATTAGACATCTTAATCTCTGGCCTAAATTGCAAGGAGCAGACTACGTGTGTGGGCTACATTGCCAATATGTCTCTTGCTCTAAATGCACAAACTACCATTCATTGATTTCACTAGCTAACTATTTTAGTGAGACATGCTGAAAGAAAACTATTACCCATCTTTTTGTGCAATCCTACAAGGCCAAATTACTAACACAAATTGTACAACATCATTTTCGAGAAGAAGGAGAAGATTTGACTCAACGCTTTTTCTTAAGGGTAGCTTTGCAGGCAACTGCCATTCACTTTTTAGGTTTAGGACCATGTAAATAAATAACAGTTGTAAGTATAGTGTTGAATACTTCTGTGAAAAATTAATACAATATAAAGCAAACAATGACTTTGGAATGCTTCTAGCACTCTTCAACAATGATAACAGCAAAACCTAAAACCCTTAAGCTAAATATCAATTAAAAGCACAGTTAACTCATCAGGAATTTTACATCAACTCCTTCTTAGAGGTCTTTGCTACGAAAGAAATGCAGTCAATAACGTACTGTATATTTTGAAAGTAATGTAAAAACATATTTTTCTTTCTTAGCTGAGTATTCTTAGTCTCATTTCTCTGACTTTGCCTGTAATCTTGACCTCTTTGTTAGCTCTCACACATGAAGTATTTAATTAAATTTAGAAGACGACTGAATGAATTCTTAGGAGAACAATTGGTGTAAGTAATAATTAACTTAGTATTTGTTAATTTAATATCCAGTTCATTAGCATGAGTTATAATTACTGAACAATCTTTTAAAGAAAGCCTCTACTAATACAGAGTAGTCTTTCACTTCCTGAAACCTACTATCTTTGAAGTAAAAATAAATAAAGACTGTTTAACATCTCATACCCTTCCCATTTTAAAGGTTCACTTTAGGAATAGCACAGGCAAAGACATTAAAATACCCGGGTTTTGATAGATAGTATTCAAGCATCTGTTAAAAAACATACTGGTGTGTGAAAAAAAAAAATCAGTTTTTATTGAAGTCTTTGACAGGTTATTAATAACTACCTATGGTACTGTTGCTCAAACTGTAGTTAAACTCTCACTGGCTTACAAAAAGAGTCTATGAGAGCTGCAATAATTTTCTTGATCAAAATGTAATGGTATCTTTTCAGTAATTTTTACAGAAATTGGTCTGAAATTCTGATCATTTTCTTCTTACATCTGAGGTACATTTTGAACCTTTGCAAAGGTTTTTTCCCCATGATTTAATAGTTAACAGATGTACTTATATCTATCCTTGGCTGACAAATAATTTCAATATCTTGACAGTCAAAAATGAGCTCTATATGCTATTCTAACCACCTGCCCACAAGCAAGAAAAATCTGCTTTTTTAGGATGTAGTACCAGTGCCAAAGCAAGCAACTTGGCTCAGCTAAGCTGGATGAGGAATGATTGCCCTCAATCTGATTTGACCTTGAGAAATCAGGTCATCTCAGCAATGTATATACCTTTGGGTGTCATCAGGGAACAGACACTATAGACAATTTCCTCTGTTTGCACAGGAGATAATAAAAAAATACAACCTTTTTTGTAAAATAGGTAGTCTCTATCATACTTAAGAGCAACTGTTT